ATCAAGTCTAACTAGTTGGGAAAAAAATGCCAAAATAGCGAAAATATGAATAGATACTATAAGATATTGCGATAGAATGGGTCAAGAACGAGGCGATGTGGGGTAGGGCGGATCGGAAGTAGATACTCATGCCCCGCCCCACGCTACCGCGGGCCAGGCAATACCTGGCGGGGCATGTTCAAATTGCCAGCCCTATTTGATAGCGCTGACTATTTGGTCTGGACTGTTTGGTTTTACCCGAAACTGGACCGTATAACCCGGACCGGGATCGGATTGGGACCGGATAGCAAACAATCCAATCTCATATTCGGGCTTAGATTTGAGGTAAAAAAACCGGATAAATACCGGATAAGAGACCCCAACACTCAAATACCCACAAGCTCAATCTAAAATCAAGATCAAATTGGGACCAGACCGGGTCAAGACCAGACCGGATCAAGACCGGACTGTATCCAATCCAATATTTGGTCCTTATATTCCCGAAAAGACCGGACTGGGACCGGATCAATTTGGTCCAATTTAACCGGACCGGACCGTATAGCCACCCCTACTATTTGATATGCATATGGAAACACCTTTCACGTCATATCCTATTGTCATTTCTTCGGTGTAGGAATGACAATGGGGCAGGTCCGGGCCAGGTATCTCGATACCCATACCCGCCCCGTGGCAAGTCGGGTGCAGGTCGGGTAATTTATCATGGGGCGTGGGTCGGGGCAGGTCGACCCAATGAGTATGTAATTTATGTGAAAACCTTTAAAAATATTCATTATTTTCATTAAAAGACAAATAAATGAACCATAATATGATAAATTGTAGTTGAAGTATTGGAGAAATTGAGGTTTTCACTTATTTACAACTTTATTATAGCTAAATAATGAGGTAATATGAGGAAAATTCTAAGTAATTTGACTAAGATTACATGTAATTTAAGCAAGAACGGGTCGAGAATGGGGCGGGTCAGGGCAGGTCGGGTCGACGAGAGGTACCCATGCCCGCCCCGCCCCGCCCCCGCCCCAAAACAAGTTAAAAAGGTCGGGTAAAACGGGTCAGGTCGAAATTTCCATCCCTACTTCGGTGGAAGGTCCCCTGCTTCGGGATTGTCTACATTTATTCGTTTCGTGTTCTCTTTGTATAGTTTTAAGAGCGATTTCGCGAACTGTCAACTGGACTGTCCATAAAATGGCAAAGAAAGTCATGTTGTTGTCCGCTTTAGAGTTAGCTTCCTTCAGTTTCGTAGAGTGACTTTACTAAGTGTTGTCTGGGAATGATGTAGGTAGATGTTTCTAACTGTTTTCTCCTATCATTACTTGGGGAGAAAAATCTTTGTATAAAATTTTCAGGTGGACAAGTTATATTTGACCGTAGAACTTTGTTGTCTTCGATGTTGAGCATGAACCTTTTTTTTATAAAATTCTTGACGCTTTTATTAAGTACTCATAATGGTATTTCAATCGGAAAGCAACAACTAGAAAATAAAGATAGGTGGTCTTTCGACCCAAATTTCTTGAGTATCCAATTGGAAATTGTATGGGTCATCATATGTACTACTCTGTTACATTCTTTATTTGAAAAAACCCATTCCGCTTGATTTATTGTGTAGACCTCAACTCGTATTTCATCATTCAGTCAGCCTGCTTCCAGTGAAGACTGGTGTGAACAGTTGAGTTCTGAAACCGCCTCCAAGCAGTCTGCCTCAACAATTGTGAGGAACATACCTTTCAATTCCACCATCTTCATAGCAAAAGCGATTTCCCGAAGCTACGCAATCTATAGTGATTCATAAAGCACTTCCCCTCCAAATCCCTCACCGATGCACCATATCCCGAATCCCTCACCCCAAAGATAGTTTCATCGACATCCTTGAACCATCCAACAAGCAGCTTTTTCCAGGTCATATTTCTTGTAACTCTCACTCCTTCCCCTTCTGATGAAATGATTGTACTCCTCCTAGTAAGATATAGCTTACAGGTGATTTCCCACTCATTCATTATTAAGAGTGATTATTTCTTTCATTCCATAGATTTCAGAGTATCATGGTGAATTTCGAAAGAGATTCATCATCCACTTCCTTCATCACCTCGCAATACTTGCTTGTTGAATTTGTAAATGAAGATTTTGAGTTTTGAGGGAGTCGTTTTGATGGAGTATTTGTATGAGTTATTTGGGTTCAAATAACTCACAATGAGTTATTTGGACGCAAATAACTCGTTTGGCAGCGTTTTACTGAAATGAGTTATTTGGACAGTGAGTTATTTACAAATAACTCAAACGAGTTATTTGAAATAACTTATACCCATGTGTTATTTCGAAATAACTCGTTTTATCACTCTGCTTTTACCAAATACCGCACTTGCATGGTTCAACCAAACGAGATACTTTATTTCAATTACCACTGAAATAACACTGAAATACCACATGAACAATAGATGAGTTCTTTGACTCTACAAATACCACATTGACAATTAATCCATCCAAACGACCCCTTGGATTTATGATAGATTTGTTGCATTTTGTATTTGAAAGATAACATTGTTTGTTTAGTTCATTTTGATCATGGATTTAAAGGTTTTTGCTCCATGGTTCACAAAACTTTGCATTCCATGACCAAATACCAAATGAAATGTGGTATTTGCAAATACGTGGGGTCCACGAATTTAGAACTAAAAAAAAGGACCAAATCCGTGGACCCCATCAACAAACAATGTTATTTTAGCAAATACATAATACTTGGGATTTATGTACCAAATACATCACCCAAATCCCACAAGCAAACGATACCCAAGTTTTGTAGGATATTTCCTCTCCTCTTTCAAAAAGATATCGGAAACGAGTAAGAGACTGTACTCATCTACGTCTAGCCTAGGAAAACTCAAAGATGTGATTCTGAGTTTCCTCTGGGTTGTTGAAAGGGCACTCAATTCATGTATCTTATTTCTTGTTTCAATATTTTTCCTATAGGTTGTATATTGTGAAGAAACCTCTAGAGAAAGGTTTTCACCTTAGACGGTATTGACAATATGTCAATACCCAAATTTGCTTCCAGTTCACAATTATAGATCTCTCCTACTTCCTCGTCAATCAGTTTGTCTTTTCTATTTCTGCATTCAAGCAAAATAACATAGACTTACGTATGCTTTCCAAGTTATTTACTCGTAATTTGAGATGAATCATGATGCTTTGATTCATTATGATTTCCAAGTTATTTACTCACTGGATACCGATACAACTTAACTTAGACTTAGGGGGTTTAGGGTTGTCAAGAACCAGTTGTTTGTAAGTCAAGTTGTTGAGAAAAGGTTATTGTGGATCTTATATCACTCTCTTACACGCCTCCTCAAACGAAAGCCAACTCATGGGCTTGAAGTTTGCACAGACCCACCATACCTTGTGCTTTAATCAATTGTTAATATTGGGGGTCGTGAAAAATCGAACACACGACCACTTGGCCAAATCAGGTTCTGATACCATTTGTCACGGGATGAGACTCCCGAAACCCGTGCGGCGTCTTGAGGTGTACTCAACCCTCAAGACCAGCCTCTCCACATACGCATACCAACTGGTTTCGGCCTGCCTTGGTTTCATCAGGGAGGCGACAATAGCCTCTGACTAGTTGTGCCTTCGCTTGCAACGATCCCCGTCATAGCCACATCCTGACTCGACCAGAACGATGCACAAGAAGACAACACCTTATCGCTAGATTCGCTCCCTTTACCCCTCGTGTGACAAGCTAACCAGAAGATACACATTCAACAGACGGTCAACACGGTCACGACATTTTGGGTCGTGACATTCTCCACCACTCATAATGCAACACGTCCTTGTGCTGGTGAAAAATGCTTCTCTCCGCGCCATGTATTGCAACACTCGAATCAGTTGTGGGCCTTCGCATACTGTACCATCTTTTGATGGACAGGTTCCATTCGCATCTCTCGCGCTAGCCTGTTGTGCCCCGCGCACATACCACGTCCTTGTGCTGGTGAAAAATGTTTCTCTCCGTGCCATGTATTGCAACACTCGAATCAGTTGTGGGCCTTCGCAACCTGTACCATCTTTTGATGGACAGGTTCCATTCGCATCTCTCGCGCTAGCCTACTGTGCCCCGCGCACATACCACGTCACCACTCAACACCAACCTCCACTCTTCGCTTCTGCTGCATTAGTACCTCAGTCAACCTTCAGCCTACGTGACTCCCAGCGTTAGTACTTCAATGGATCTTGACCCTGCGCTCTCGCTAGCATTAGTTCCTCGATTGAACGACATCCGCTCGGCCGTTGCATCCTCCGCATGTCGAGGTCTCCCACAATGGCGCAATACATGTATATCTGCGTCCGAGCCTCCTGATGCACACCCATGACCGCCTCTCATTCCGACATAGGATCGGCCCATACTCGACCTACGCCGTACTGAGAGAGGAACTACGCTCTTATGCCTTATCAGACTCTAATACCATTTCAAGAACAGTTGCACAACCCCCCCAATATTAACAGGTGATTAAAGCACAAGGTATGGTGGGCCTGTGCAAACTTCAAGCCCATGGGTTGACTTTCGTTTGAAGGAACGTGTTAAAGAGTGATATAAGATCCAACATAACCTTCTCCCAACAACTCGAGTTATTGACACCAGTTGGTTTATGACATTTGGGTAGAATCACAAATACGAACATGACCTATTGTACATTACCATATGATACATAAATAAGTACATACTTAACTCAAATATATTTACAAGTTTCATTAGATCGATGACTCAAAATCATCAATTTCTCTATGAACTCAAACTATTAAAACACAGGTCACACCTCGACTTTCTACCACACGAGTGCACTAGTTAAATTTTAACTAAGAGCTTAGCAACGCAGACAGTAGTAGAAAAAAAGCTTTTACTTACGACACTTACAAATCTGATACTGATACTTGTTGTATCTTCTCAAAGCAGCAACACAGCTGACAATTTTAAAAAAATCTCAGTCACTCTGTCACGGCTTCAGCTGAGATCTCGTCATACGGGCCCATCAAGAGCCCAACTGAGAAGAAGCAGAAGAACGCCTCCTGCTCCTCCTGGCTCCGTGGTCCGCAATCACAAGCCCACCAAACTTCTGGGCCGCCTCGTCACACGTCATCACCGGCTGCTGCTCCTCCTCCCTGGCCGCCGGTTGATTGCTCCCGCCGTAGTAGTAACTAGTCGCCTCCATAGCCGCCGGCACCTTCACCGTCACCGTCGCTGTTCGCGGCCCGTAGTAAACGCAGGGCTGCAGCTCCTTCTGCTGGGTTTGGTGGCGGCTGTGGACTTGGCCGGCGTAGAAGTGTTTGTCGATCAGCGAGAACCCTTCTTCTCCGATCATCACAAGCCTGTCTCCTTGAGGTGCCATGGATTTGTGCGTTTAATTTTTTGTTTTCTAGAACCCTTTTTGTTTGTAGGTGAGGTGGTTTGTTTTTTGTTCTGTTTGCTCTTTTGCTTTGTGATAAAAGACTGGTAACGGTTTTTGATGTCTAGTTATATAGTTGAGTAACGGTTATACCTAAATGCCTCAGCCACTTCTGTGTTCGAAAAGTGATCCAACTTTATCTGATTCTCTAAGCAACTTTCAGGGGAGACTTTAGTATATCTAAAGCTACTTGCTTTCCTGGAACAAATTCCAGATATTTAATAACAACATTATTTTTAAATGGTTTAGACCTAACTAGTAACTAGTAACTAAACCATGTTTAATGTAGCAAATTTCATTATGTAACTTCAAAAGCGAACATATAACGACCACTCTTATAACTCTGTCCAATTTCGGTGTATATATGGTCAAATTACATAACTCTTGTATCTTGATTGATCGAGTTGTAATGTTGTATTTAGTGAAATTGTTCAGATTCACTGTTAAAAATTCAATCAATCGTGATTCATGTTCGCTTTCCTATATACTTTCGACAACATTATCATGATACTTTTTCACTCGTAGAAACACAACCTCTTTTTTTCCTCAACAAATAGTGAGTTTCATTCCGATATTCAAGATCTTATCTTACAAGTTAAGCCGAATACAAAAATGGAGATGTAAGATCAAGGATAGTAATCCATTCACCGGAAGCGTTCCCCTTCCTCCTGCCTCCTGCCACGTAATATATGCACTTCTGTTGAGATGCCTAGGGAAAAACGAAATCGAGATATTGTCCGCTCCTCGTATCAGTTCATCCATTTGTTGGAGCCATAATCGAATTTCTCAAGACCACTTCTCTTGGATGTTTCTAAGCACATTCACCCGTATTTGAGAATCAGAACGTATAGAGCCCCAGAAACCTTTTTCGGACTACAGATTATTGAATGTTCCAGCCTTTCCCTCACAAGCTATTAATCAAGGTTCAAAAAGGCGATAGGCGTAAGGCGAGCGTTAAGCATTTGCCTAGCGTTAGGGATGACAATTATGCCCATACCCATGGGTATTTTACTATCCAACCCAATTGGGTTGGGTATGAAATCCAAATACATGGATATGGGTAAAGTTTGATGGGTTTGTGCCCATACCCATTTACTTTGGGTTGGGTTGGGTTTATAACAAATGGATTTGGGTTTGTACCCATGCCCAAATACAAATTACAGTTTGGTACCTAAACTTAATAGATATGCATATTTAGTATCTAAATTTAATTTTTTTTGCATATAAGTCCTCAAAATATCGATGGAAAATTACGTTTTGGTACCTAAATTTTTTTGGCCTTACATTTTGGTACCTAAAATTTTCAAGTTTTACAAATAAGTCCAATTTTTGCATGTGTAGTTAAGACACCCTCAAGTAAATGGATATCCATATCAAACCCATACCCATTTAGATAATATCCATATCTAACCCAAACCCATATACACATCACCCAAACCCTACCCATAATAGATGGGTCTACTTGGGTTTGGGCAAAATTACCCATGGGTGGGTAAATTGCCATCCCTACCTAGCGTCTAGCTCGCTTAGACGTAGACTAAGCGTGCCTAGGCGTTGGAAGAAAAATAGCTATTTTCACCAAATGATGAATGAAATAATAATCTACAACACTGTCTCATTTCATTTTAAATGATTAATAACTTACTCAAAACCGAATGTCAAGAACATAGCTCACGAATTCATAGAATCATAGCTCAATGGCTCACGAAGTTCTTAAGCTATTGAAAATACCGATATAGAAAATTGATTTCGTAGTTGATGTTAATTTTCTCCTTTGATATTGACTTCCTAGCTCCATCTAGTAATGTTTAGGAGAGACTTTTACGTCGCCTTACTCCATTGACATGTTCTAGTATCTAATTAGGCGCAGAACCGCTAGGCGAGGCGTTTTGCCATTGCCTTGCGCCTAGGCATGCCTAAGCGTAAGATTAAACTTGCATTTTTCAACCATGCTATTAATGTCCATGTATATCAGCTATAGGTACTATAGACGAGCCTTTATTCTAGTTCTTTGTCTCGATTAGTCTAATTCAAAGTATTAGACTTTGGCCAATTGGCATATTCCTGGCCATATAACTCATTACTTGGGGGGGGGGGGGAATCAGTCACATGATATACACATCTCCCACCTTGGCAATGTCCAATATTCCCAACTTCTCAATGTCATAAACAGTTAGTCTCAATAACTCGAGTTGTTAGAAGAAAGTTAATTATACTGAATCTTATATCACACTCTAACACGACCCTTCAAACGAAAGCCAACACACGGGCTTGAAGTTTGCACAGGCTCACCATACCTTGTGCCTTAATCAACTGTTAATATTGAAAGTCGTCATGGAGATTGGAACACACGACACGACCACTTGGTTAAACTAGCTCTGATACCATGTCATAAACCAGTTGGTTCCAATAACTTGATTTTTTAAGAAAAAAGTTATGTTGGATCTTATACCACACTCTTATCCTAGGAATCTTTCTACAAATTATTGTACCCCTGCCGAAAAGATCTTCCATTTCTTTGCAAAATTTCAAGAATCTTGGAAAAGAACCAGATACCCTTCCATCTATCACTTCTTTGCCTCTATTTTACACCACAAAGGGATGCTAATGCTACAAGATTGTGTAGCCTCTATTTTAAGGGCGGTTTGGGAACCATATTCTTTGGTTATCTCTACGGGACACCAAGCTATAGAGCTAGAAGGGCTTTGTGGGTTGGAATCTGTTTTTTGTTAGGGTTAATAATATCTTCCCTGCTTGAAGTTTGAATGCAGAGCCGTAAAGAATAAAGATGGAGGATACATATCTTTTACACATGTCGGAATCAGAAATTCTAACTATGAGTGTTTTTTTCTTAATGAAGTCATTAAGCCGCGTTATCTTTTAAATCACCGTTTTGATTAAGATTTACTTGACTGATAGCTACCTATAGGGCTCGGATAGAATAACAACACTAAGAGTGTTGTTATTATAACAACAAAATTCATTAAGGGTAGGTTTGGATAGCTGGATTTGTATTTGGATTTTGTATTTGAATTTTCAAATTCCAAATTTTAGCGTTTGGCAGGCCCATGAATTTAGTATTTGAATTTGGCCCAAATCCATCCTGTATTTCGGCCTTCAGAAATAAGAATATTTCAAATACGCGCTGGACGGTACTGATTCTAAAATACAATCCGACGACTGAAGCCTCGCTGTATCCAGAGGCAATCGTTCCCTTCGCCGCCATCTCGCTTCATCTTCTCGTTTCTCATCCACCATCCATCGTGTTGGCACAGCCACTGCCCACCGCCCTCCATCCGCAACCATGGTCACCGATTAATCTCCTTCTCCTTATCCACCGCCACTGCCCACCGCCCTCCATCCGCAACCAGCAGCTCGCCTGCCCTCCACCGACTACGATTTGCTCGTTTCCCTTCTTGGTGTTCTTCGAATCTTGGAGGTAAGTGAGATTTCGTACTTTGGATTTATTTGCTACCGTTTGATACAGCTTCTTAATACTAAACTTCCAATACCCAAACCCTTAATGCGCAGATCTGACCATCAACTTCGTTTCTTATCCAGCAGGTCACTGCCCTCCATCGGCGACCATAGCTTGCCTGGCTGCTGCGATTTGTTTGCTACTCAAGGTAAAAAGCTTGCTGAATGTTTCAATTTGTTTGCTACTTTAGGTTCATTTGATTTTGCTTCTACAAACTAAGTTTCCACCATCCCAACCCACCTGTGTTCTCACCTTGGGTTTCAATTTGCGAGTTAGAAGTTTGTTCGTCTGTTATAGCCGATTTTGCTCCTTGCTCATACTATTTGTTCTAACTTTGAATGGGTTTATGGGTTTTGGGCGTTTGGGTTGTGGATATGTGTTTTCGGGAGATGATTATCTCCAGTGGGTGTTCTGTAGAAAGGTTTCCCAGACGAGCTGGTGATGATTCCATAACCATGATATTCTCACGTTTTGGAAGAACATATACTCTATGCATAATTGAAATTGTTTGATTCTGTTTTATTAATGTTAGTGTGGCTGTAGATATTAACCATACCAAGATGTATCAAATCACATAGTTATAGTATTCGGTCTATGAGATACGAGTCTGTTTTAGTAGGTTGTATGAGATACGAGTCTGTTTTAGTGTGTTCTTATACTGGTTGTTCTGAAGTCCATCGGTCAGTTCTGAATTTTATCAATGCATAGCTCTTGTAAAGCATAAGAGACAAGAACTTAAACTTCTTGATTCCAACAGAAAGTGAACATAGATGACTAAGAGAAAGTGAACAAAGAATATCAATACCAGATGAAGGCAAATAAGGCTAGCCTGAAGCTTATCTATATTATTATTATGGTAAGAGTTGGTCAACTAAGAGTAGTGTGCAGGACATATCCCACCTTTACTTCTTGCTAGATTGTATGTCCATCAGTCTATACTCTATATATATGATCATTTTGAGAAGTGAGTTGCAGGAGTTCCATAGCTAGTGTGACCTGTTTTCTTTTTCCTTTATACAGTAAATGATAATTGCACCTAAAACTGAACCCTTATGCAGTTTTTATGTGTGGATTTGCAGAATTAAAACCAATCTCATCTGGATATATCATATCTTACAAAGTATGGATGAAACTAGGAGAGAGATAGTTAGGTATAAGCGTAAGAGAGATGAGGAAGAGGAAGAAGAGGAGTTGATTGTGTTGGTAATTGTATTTCTAGCCATTTTTATTGGTTCCCTCTTTATGCCTGCAAAAAATCAGTCATATGCTAAACATTTTGAGCGTAGATTTTTTCGTAGAAGAGATCATTTAGATACTATACTTTCTCAACCAATATGTGTTGAGCAATTACGCATCAAACCACAAGCTTTTGAGAAACTGTGTCGCATCTTGCAAAATAAGGGTGGTTTAGTTGCTTCAAGGCATGTGTCTATTTCAGAAATGGTTGTGTTCTTTTTGCAAACCTTAGCGCATTGCATGCGAAATAGAACAATTAAAGCTACTTTCCTCCGTTCGGGGGAAACTATTAGTAGACATTTTCACAAGGTGCTACGAGC